AAAATCTATTAATAAATAAAATTAAATTAATCAATCAATTAAGTAAATCATTATTATTGATAACATATTACCAATCCATCAACTGCTTTTACCTGAACTAAAAATTCCATTATTGAATGTTTTTTATCTTGATTTAATAAACAATAAATAGACTTTGCCAGTAGAATTGCTGTTAATCAAAATATAAATTAATTAAATATTAAATTGTAATAATAGTAGCATTATTATTATTATTATTATTATTATTATTATTACATACAATTATTATCATTGTCATTATTATTAATATATGGAATTAATGCGAATCTTATTGGAACATCATTGTCAATATATGATTTAATTTGTTCTGTTAATATTTTAAGACTCTCCACTGAAGATAAATCAAGTACAAATAAAGTTGTGAATAAATTTTTCTTTAGAAATCTCATTTGTCCAGGATAAACAGGTCTAAGGATCTAATAAACATTATATTAATATAATTTTTATTATATTATATTTATTTATTTATTTATTAGTCTACCTCAAATATTTTAGATGGCCAATGTTCATATTTTTCGTCTTTTTCAAAATCGTTGAACCAAACAATTAAATTTGAATTTTTTGACTGATCTCTAACATCAAACAATCCTTTTGTGACATCTAAAGATGTTTTAGATTCTGATTTACTTTGCAAAGTCAACAGTTCAATTGATACACCAGGACTTAATCCAATATTTAACAATGATGAAATAATATTTTTTTCACGTTGTAATAATTTTAATATACTACAAATAATAATAACAATGTCAATGTTAATATAAATTATTTAATTAGTAAATAGGGAAGGGAAATTAACCAATTAATAATTTATGTAGTTACCTGAATGGATTAATATTATTATGATCTAAAATCAATCCATTTAACCATAAAATGTTATTTTCATTAGTAATATAATGTTGATTTAATGATACTTCTTTTACAATTGATGTATTTAATGTTAATTGCGAAATGGAATATGAATATTTTGGAAAATCTTGGGATAATTTTATTAGTGATGATAATTGGTTATTTGAATCAAATGATTAATTCACCTTTGATTTCACTTGATTTCAATGGCACAATTTCAGAAATTTCTTCACTAAATAAATTATCATTCAATTTATCTTCGATCTTATTATCTTCAATATTGCTATTATCATCTTCTAATAAAATTTAGAAATATTAATCAAATATATTATCAATATTAATTCATCAAATGCATTAAATATATTCAATATATTTACCTGAATTTATGTTTCTATCATCGAGTACAATGTAATCAGTTTGCTTTAATGCTAATTCTACCCCATATCCTGATAAATATAATTCTTTGTTATTATTATTATTATTATTTATTAAAGGCTTATATCTTAATATGTAAATAATCTTATTATCATTAACTAAATCTATCAAATATTTATGAATATAAATGAAATCCAAAGAATTTAAATCAGAATATAAAATTATTATTGGTAAATTATTATTATTAATGCCATTGATGTTCTTGTTTGGCTTCAATATGTGATCAAATGACAATAATTTGATATTATCATTATTACTGCCACTATAACTATTTATGAACTCTTTGAATTCTTCGATCTCACATGAAACATTCTCATAATAATCTATTATTATATTACAATTATTATATTTATTATGATCATTACTATTGTATTTACTATTATAATAATTATAATAAGTTTGTATTGTTGGTGTTGTTGAATGTATTGATAATGAAAACTCAAGTAATGATTTTGATTCATTTGACAAATAATTTTTGCTGGAAATTATTTCAATAGTTTTAAAATAAATTTCTTTCTCATCACTCAAAAATAATATTTCATTCTCTATTAACTCATTAATAAAGTGAAAATAACTTGTTGAATTTTCAATTGAAATTGTTTCTCTAGATTAAAAAGATAAATTAATTTAATGTTTAATAATTCAAATTTATGTATGTAATAAACAAAAAACTTACAGTATTTCAAGTATTAAAGGTGGTGCATCCCAGGAAGCCTTTAACCAAGTTTGAACCGGAGGTATTGATGTTATCTCGGCATTTACATTATGATTATAAACGATTAAACAAGATACTATTATTGTTATTATAAATATATAATTATAATAATGTTTTTTTTTTAATCTAATTGACATTTTAAATTTTTTTTTTTTAGAAAATATATCTTTATTTTGGATCTACACAAGGATAGATTTCAAAAAATGTTTTTTTTTTTAATAATCAATTCAGAAAAATATTATTATGCAATAAATCAATACGTTTTAATTCATCGAGGTTTTACTCTTTGAACACCTTTAAAGACACTATTTTTGCGCTATCAACTGGCCAAGGAAAAGCTGGGATTGCTATTATACGTATTTCTGGTCCAAATGCCTCACAGGTTAATATTTTTTTCGATTTTTACTTATTTTCTAGTTTTTATGTTAACAGCGCTTTTTTTTTGTAAAAAAAATAAAAGGTATTGTCAAGGATGACTCGGAGTAAGAAAAGGTTACCAATGCCTCGTATAGCAACAGGTAGAGCCATAATTCATCCAAATACTGGTGAAGTACTTGATAATGCTTTAACATTATGGTTTCCAGGTAAACAAACAATAAATTCTTTTACAAATGGATCAAATTAACTTGATAATAAGAAAATATGCATATATATATGGTTTAGGACCTAATAGTTATACTGGAGAAGATTTAGTAGAATTGCATGTACATGGCGGTACTTCAGTGATAAGTGGAGTATTGGAGGCACTTGGTTCTATTGAATGTTTTAGACACGCGGAACATGGAGAATTCACTCGTAGGTAAAATATATATTATATATAGTTAGATAGATGTATATATTTTGACAATTAATTAGTTAACTAGATTTTAAAAATGGTAAATTGTTTTTTTTTTAAAATAAAAATTTTTAAGAGCATTTGGTAACGAAAAATTAGATTTGACTGAAATTGAAGGACTAGCAGATTTGTTGAATGCTGAAACAGAAGCGCAGAGAAGACAGGCCTTACGACAAGCTCAGGTAATTTCTATTAAATTTTTTATCTATTTATTTATATATTGTATATTATATTCACATCTTATATATACAACATAGGGTGGACTTAAAAATTTATACGAATCTTGGAGAAAACAATTGATTAAAAATATGGCACTTGTAGAGGCCATTATTGATTTTGGTGAAGATGAAAATATTGAAGATGATGTGTTTGATCAAGGTAAATTGTGATTTATATTTTATAATGAATATTTAAATATTGTAATAATCATAACAAAATTACTTAATAATCAATTGATTGATTGAATTTATTAATGAAATAGTTACTAATCAAATTAAACAATTGATAATCGAAATATCTGAACATATGAACGATAATCGTAAAGGCGAAATTTTACGAGATGGTATATTTGTTACTGTTCTAGGTCCTCCAAATGCTGGAAAAAGCAGTTTTTTAAATTATTTAGGTATGAAATAAAAAAATAAAAAAGGTAATATTATTACTGTTTATACATTTATGCAAAAAAATTTTTTTTATAATTTTAAAAAATAAATCTCCAAAGCTCAAAGACAAGCTGCAATAGTGTCACCAATTCCTGGAACAACACGTGATGTTATTGAAGTTTCGTTAAATATTGGTGGATATCCAATCGTTATAGGCGACACTGCAGGATTAAGACAAACTGATGATTTGATCGAGATTGAAGGAATTTCAAGGGCAAAAAAATGGTCAATAATAAAGTTTTTTCCCAACGATAATATTTTATATTTTATATTTATTGTTGGTTTTTATATTTATATTTTTTTAGGATAAAATCAGCAGATATCAAAATATGTATTTTACCTTGCGATGAATTATTAAATTCAAATTTTTTGATATATCCATTTATAACAGATATGATTAATAATAATGATGATGATGACAATAATGCTGATAAAGAGAATTCTAATGATAATAACAATAACGATAACAAAAATAGTAGTAGTATTAGTGAAAATATTCTAATTCTAAATAAAATTGATCTTATTAATGAATTGGATTTGATAAGGTTAAAAGAAAAAATCAATAAAAACTTCTCTACAAAATTTATAAGGTGTTTATCATGTGAAACTGGTGAAGGCTTCAAAGAATTTTTGGATGAATTTGTCAATCTTTTAAAAACAAAGTAAACACTATTATATCATTATCGTTAAAACAGTTTTCAAATAGTTTTTTTTAAAAAAAATGTTATATTTATTTAATTTAGATATGATTCGTCAACTTCACAAGTTGCCCTAATAACTCAAACAAGACATCGTGAGAATTTAAAGGATTGTTTAAACTTTTTGAAAAATTCTCTAGGTATTTAATAAATATTATTGTTTACCAAGGAAAAATTACAAACAATCAATATATTGTTTCTTTTTTCCATCTCTCATATCACCTATTTATTTCAGATCAATGCGATATAGTGTTAGCTGCTGAAGAATTAAGATATGCAACAAATGCTTTGGGTAAAATTACTGGTCATGTTGATATTGAAGAAATATTAGATGTTATATTTAAACAATTTTGTATTGGCAAATAGGTTTCAAAAAAAAAAGGAAAAGTTAATAAATTATATATACTGCATTAGAGATATATATATATTATAAAATATAGTCATCGTCATATTTCAATCAAAGAGTTTTCTTGAATTTTACAATATCACTTTGTTCTAGAATATCAAACAAAAATTTAAAGTTCTGATTAATCTTTTTAAATTTTTAGAACAGCTTAATAATCATCCTTGGAAATTAAAACATATCAATAAGCCTGTAAATGATTTAGCAAGCTTGCTGACTAAATCTGACTATTATGATGTAGAAACCAAAGCTGGAGAGGATGAAAATGTTAAAACTTTAAATAAAACCTTATTTCGAGCAATTTTATCAAATTATCAGTGTTCTTTTAAAATAAGTTTTAATTGATTATATATATAATAACTATGGTGCAAGTCACTTAGTCGCTGAACTTTTTGTGCCATGACGCCAATTTTGAGAGAAAATATTCCAATCAAAAATGCAATAATAAAATTTACTCACGTGTTTTTAAAGATCGCAAACCAACTTGATTTTAATGTCAACGTGATGCTAAAACAGATAAATTTTTGATCTTGCATAGCATGGCATGCATGATTGCATAATACATAAAAAAACAATACGTTCTTGGTTGTAAAATTTCATTATTATGATTATCACGTGATAAAGATCAGCCATAAAAAATTCAATTTTCTTCGTGTAACACGCCATCTGGGGGTTAACATGGTAAATTCGTGAACTTTGATGCATCGTTCCTCTATGGTATCGTTACATATCAATGAAATGAAATCATTGTATTATAGGGAAAGGTCTTAGCTTTAATTCTATGATTTGTTTTTTTGGTCATACGTTTCCATTTTTGGAGGAGATCAAGGATCTACACGGCCAATAAAAAGTTCAGTTGAACGATGTGTCACGTTAAACGATTGGGAAGTGTATTTTCCGAAATTTTTTGATGATCAACGTCAAAATTCTATTAATAAAATTAGCCACAAACCTTAATTTTAACTATAGATGGGTGTCTAAATTGTTTTTGGATTTGTCTAAAGTCAAAATATTATTTAGACAAAAATGTCTAATGTCTAAATTAATATAAATAGTAATGATTTGCTTTAAATACAACTAAAAGTCACGTGTATATACACAAAATCCAC